CTACTCAAGTGGAAGAAGCTCAAACAAGGGACAAAGGCGAGAATCTGGAGACACACAAAGAAACAAATGAGGTAAAGGAAGAGGAATTGAAACCAAAGTGGAACAACTTATTTGCTGGAAACAGAGCTGCGGAGAACGGTATGACCCTAATCTATTTTCCACCTCAAATTGTTAATGGTGAACCTATAGTCCAGCTAGAGAAAAGCGATGTGGAGAAAGAAGCGGAGAAGTGGAAAAATGCCCTCATTGTCTATGTGATGGGGGAGACACCAGGGTACTCAGTCATGCATAGGTATATCTCTCAAATGTGGAACTCTATAATGATGCCAGGTCTGTTTCTGCATGAGGAGGGATACTATGTGGTTCGATTCCATAGCACTAATGATATGAATGAAATCCTGTTTTCTGGGCCTTATTCTATTAGAAATAGACCAATTATTCTGAAACCATGGACTCCTGAATTTGATTTCAGTCAAGAGTTTATGACAGAGATACCATTGTGGGTGAAATTTCCCAAATTGCCTATGAGTTGTTGGGGTTGTGGATCTCTGGGCAGAATAACTAGCGCACTGGGGAAACCATTGTTTGCAGATGAATGTACGACTAAACAAACAAGGATTTCCTATGCCAGAATGTTAATTGAAGTCAATGTATCAAAACCACTCTCTGACACAATTGTGGTTATGGAGCCAAATGGGAAGAAATTTCAGCAGGAGGTGGTGTTTGAATGGAAGCCTCAGTTCTGCCCTCAGTGTTTAACTATAAGGCACGTTTGTATGAAGCAAACTGAGAAACAAGGAAGACAAATGCAAAATAGAAGAAGAGATGAGCAGAAAAAAGTGATCCAGGAATGGAAACCTAAAGATGTTCCCTCAAAGAGCCAATTGACAGATACAAATCAATCAACACAAAGATGGTATGAACAAACTGCAGCAAATGGATAAAGGAACACACAGCACAGATATAACACCTGTGGAAGGGTCAAAGAATGCATCTAAAGGCAAGGAGCTACCTAGTCCAGAGCTGAACTTGATTAATTTCCCACAATTGAGTATTGTCATGTTGAGTAATGCAAAAAATGGGAAGACTGGAGCAACACAAAGGGAGGTACAGAGAATGAGACAGTAGACCACNGAGCCATAGATGCTAATTGATGTCTGTTATTGTTGTAGTATAGTTTTAGCTTTGGTTTGTACTTAAATGAACAATGGACTGTGGTCACCTATATGCCTGTTTAAATCTGGTCTAAGTTAGCTGAATAAGAATTAGTTCAATTTGCTGAATTTACAAATGTTTCAATTCGGAGCAGATGCTAGATCTAAATAAATGTCATTAATTAGTCCGTTAGTTAGAAATTAAAAGTTTACTGTGGCTCAGCCTGGAATTGAAATATTTGAAGTCATTTGTAATTAGTAGCCTTGTTTGGATTACATGTTATAGGTGATTTGTTTTTTCATATAAAAATCAGTAGATCCATTGAGTTCACAATATGCTTGTCTGGTTAGCTTAGTGGATTCTATTTGAGCCTGTAAAATCAAGCACCCAGTCATTCATGTTTAAGTTTTAGAGCCTGCTAATTAAATCTATTCTGTCCAGTTACTGGTCATTAAAAGCAAAGCAAAATTTGGCTCATTGAGTCATTGTTAATGGACGTTGAAAATTGGTTACACTAGTAAGTAATTTATTGAACAATACTGGTTTGGTTTATACCTGGACCGTCTGGGCCATAAGGAATTGATTTAACATGGCCCAGTTATACAATAACTGTCCAGAATTAAAACCAGGCCCACCCCTTCTAATTCAATTGATTTCATCAAGTCAAGGGACTGGGCGGCTTGGGCCCAAGTCCCAATTTCGTTGCCCTCACGCGGGGCCTGTTCAGAAGCTCATTTGGGGCAGCTCCTCATAAAACTGGTCGAAAATTTCTCACTATTGGGCCAAATTCGAAGCCAAATGCTGAGGGCTTTAATCAAAATTATGGGTTTAATTTGGTAATGCAAGTTTAGGCCTTCCAAGTTAAGTAGCAAACTTGAATTAAGAGGTTTTCAATAACGAAGATCCTTTTGTTTAAGTTTGGACTTGATCTTGGGGCCCGAACTTTCTCGAATGCTTTAAATAATGATTAATTCATAATGTTAATTAATTAGGCCTTTAGAGACAATCTTTAATAGAAAATAATAGTCCATTTTAGGATGGCCTTTAAAATAAAACGAGGTGCGCCGCGCCAAACAAAATTCATAAATTGTGTGGCCCTCTTTATTTACTTTTATAAAATATTTAGAAATCGGGTAAGCCATTTAGCAAATTTCCATGGCTTCCCGCAAAGATATCAACCGCTAGTTACTTTAGGTGCGCTTTTTAATAAATCTACCTTCCTAAACTCGGGTGTGCATTTCATGTAACCCAAATCCAAATCCCAAAACGTTGAATAAAATGTGTCGCGGATCCGGGTGCATTTCATGTGACGTGATCCAATAAACGACGTTCAACCTTCCTTAAAAATTAATTAAAAGTGGTAAATACTTTTAAAATTGCACTATAGGATGGACATGTTTTAAAATCAGATAATAAGCCAATTATGATAGTTTAAGCGACCGTGCTAGAACCACGGAATCCGGGGGTGCCTAACACCTTCCCTCGGGTTAACAGAATTCCTTATTCAGAATTTCTGGTTCGCAGACTTCACTTGGAAAGTCAAAAATCTCCTCGATTTGGGATTCAAAATAAACCGGTGACTTGGGACACCAAACGCCAAACCTATCCCAAGTGGCGACTCTGATCATTAAATAATTCCATTTCGAATAATGTCACTTTAATTGAAAAAAATCCCTTATACACTATCTTCCCGGGGGTGGTGTGTAAAAAAGGAGGTGTGACAGCTCTGGCGACTCTGCTGGGGATACGAACCCAGAATTTCGATTCAGGGTTCAAGAATTCGAGCTTAGAGTAGGTATTATGATTGGCTTTATTTATTATCTGATTTTCCTACATGTTTCATGCTAAATGTGCTAAATGCTTTACCGCTTTGATATTTGGTGAATTGTATATATAAACTGCTACGAAACCCTTCCTCTCTCTGAGTCTTCTACATCATGGAGAAGGGTGCATTTCGTGTGACTTCTCTTCTGTTTAGAGTCTTATCCCATTTAGAACGAGGTTCGGACAAGTTGCTAAGCCGGCGGAGCTTCTGTATCCCCGGTACGCTGCCCCCCCTCGGCTTGAGTTGTCCGCTCGGGTAAGCCAGGTCTAGAGCAATAAACCCAGGTTTTAAACCTAGTATAACAAAGCCTCATGCCGGATCCCTAGTAGGAACGTTTGTTTGCATCACGTGCATTTGACTTAGGGGACTCAACACTGGGGTTGGGTCCGTCTAGGACAGGTGACCTGAAATGAAAAGACCATCCTGATGCATCTTACGTGCTACTTGTCCATTTATTTCGGCTTGCATGTTGACCGGCTTCTAGAATAGGGACAAAAAAATCAAAAAAGAGAAAAAAATAAGAAAGAAAAACCAAGAGTGAGAGGTAGGTATTTTTTTAGAAAAATTCTAAAACCCTGCCGAATTTTTGAGAAAATGAAAGAAACGAAAGGTTTTGTTTTCAAAAAAATATTGGTTTTGTCACATCTGCCCGAACTATGCCAGTTTGATTCCCATCGGATGTGGGATACGTAGACAACCCCCATCAGGTCCAACTTCCCTTTTTTCAAAAATAGCCCAAAAATAACAAAATTTTAATTTTTGCCACAAATAAGTCAGGGGATGCCATTCTTTCTTAAAATAAGCCGAATGTCCCCAAAAGGGCGCCAGAAGGCTGTTTTTGCAAGAACAGCCACCTTGGGTCATTTTCAACGGTTAGCGGGCAGAGCCTTAAAATCTTCTTTTCCGAAGTTTTGAAAGGCCGTATCCGCAAAGGCGGAGTTTTGTTTTTGAAATAAAAATTAATGAAAAATCGAAAATTCCCAAAAATTATTTCTTTACTTTTCGCATTTATTTTTCAAGAACTACGCTTGGTCTGATTCATGCGGGGTCATGATACGTAGGCAATCTCCATAAGATTCGACCGTAACCCTAAGAGAAAAGAAAAAGGGAGGAAAGAAAATAAAAGAAAAAACAAGAGAGGAAAAGAAACGAAAAAAAAGAGAGAGAAAATAAGAAAACCAAGAGAAAGAAACCATGGCAAAAACCAAAGGCAAGAATGAAAGAAAAGAAAAGAGAAAGTGAAAAAAAAAAGAGGCAATGAAAAATGAGAGAAAAGGGCAAAAGGAAAGAATAAGGAAAAGCCGGGATGACGCATGCAACCGTTGCAAAACATATAGAAACACATTTAACTGTATAGGTGCATCGCGCCTCAACGTGCGATTACCTATCTGTTATTTGCCTCGAACTAACCGTTTGCTGCTGTCATATTCCAGCTTAGGTTTTATAGAAATGGTGGTTGGTTTTTGGTAAACTGGCATCACATCAGTATTTTACCAGATCAAAAGGGAACGTAGAAATGTCTTCGGAAATGACCTTGCCAGCAGTTCCCATCCCCGAGGATAGCCCCATCTCGGGCATCCCGGCCTCCGAGTCTGCAGCAGCCGAAGAAAATAGAATCTTACGTCTCCAGGTCATGGAGATGTGGGACGCATGGAAGAATGGAAGGGAGCCTCCAAGTCCTATCCCTGGATTCCCCGAACTGTTCCCTAGATCAGGGGGTACTTCTAATATTCCCATCAGTCATCCGAATACCTCACTGGGACAGCCCACCATACCGGCTCATTTCGTAGGAACACCTTCTGAGGTTTGCCCCCAGGTGTTCACATTAGGAGTAGCCCCCAATATCTTTACCACTCCACCATGCTCGGCCACAACACAGCCTGCACCTGTCTAGGCCCACTTTTGATCCTTCGGACTTTACATTCCAACACCTCTTACCAGTGGAGCCTCCTCAGNAAACTTCCCTAGAAAGTTTACTGGATGGATCATGGAGTGTGTGAAAACTGTCAATTATTCAATTATGGTGAATGGAGAACCTACAGCTCCTTTCAATGCAACCAAAGGACTCAGGCAGGGAGATCCAATCTCCCCATTCCTCTTTGCAATTTCCATGGAATACCTCAGCAGGAATCTCAATGATGTGAAAGAAAGCCAAGAATTCAAGTACCACCCAAAGTGCTCTAAACTATATTTGACTCACTTGTCTTTTGCAGATGATTTGTTATTATTCTCTAGAGGTGATGTTAAATCAGTGACTACCCTTCATAGATGCTTTCAAGATTTCTCAGATGCTTCAGGCCTCCAAGCCAACAAAGAGAAAAGCTCCATTTATTTTGGAGGGGTGACTCAAGAGGTGCAGGAACAAATCCTAAGTTTTCTAGGATTCCCTAAAGGAGAACTCCCCTTCAGATATCTGGGAATTCCTTTAGCAACAAAAAAGATCTCCTTAATCCAGTGGCAACCATTGATTACCAGGATGGTGGCTAAAATCACCTCTTGGACTGCCAAGAAGCTGTCATATGCAGGTAGAGCCCAACTAATCCAGACTGTCCTCTTTGGTATTCAAGCTTACTGGGCACAACTGTTTGTTATACCCTCGAAAGTGATAAATACAATTGAAGCCTACTGTCGAAGCTACTTGTGGTCGGGCACAAATACAATCACTAGGAAGGCTTTAATTGCTTGGGAGAAGGTCTGTACTCCAAAATCAATGGGTGGTCTAAGCTTGATGAACATGAGAGTATGGAATAAAGCTGCAATAAGTAAAGCTAGTTGGGATATAGAACACAAAAGTGATAGGCTATGGATTAGATGTCTACATGCATACTATATCAAGAACCAACAATTTGCTCAAATGGCTATCCCTCAACAAGTTGGATGGATGGTAAAGAAGTTGTTTGAGGCAAGAAGCTCATTGCCACTGATACAAGTCAACAACGCAGGGAGTGTAATCAAGCAGATCTATTATCAGTTACTGGGAAACAATGCAAAAATATCATGGAAAACACTGAGGTTTGGCAATAATGCTCGACCAAAAGCACAATTCACAGTATGGTTGCAAATGCAGGGCAGGCTTCTAACTGTAGATAGAATTGCTTCCTGGGGTGTAAGTGTGGATCATGAATGCAAGCTGTGCAACAACCAAAATGAAACTAGAGACCATCTCTTCATGGAGTGTTCTTATTCTATCAAAGTCTGGGAGGGGGTACTAAAATGGATGCAGGTCCCAAGCTTCAGAACAACACAATGGGAACTAATGGAAAAGTGGATCATCCAAAGAATAAAAGGTAAATCGCAGCAAGCCCAGATATTCAAGATGGCCTATACAGAATGGGTGCATGCAATATGGATTGAAAGAAATCAACGGAGATTCGAAATGAGATCAAGAAAGGCAGAACAATTAGTGAAGGAAATAGCATACGTGTGTAATGTCCGAGCTCCTACTAGAATTAAAGAAAAGGTTCAACAATTTTGTATTTGTCAGCCTAGTAGAAAATAGTTTCTTTTCAGTCCTATAGTTAGATAGCAGACTGGGTTGTAGTCGTGCTATGGCTCTTTACTTGTAAATATTCTGGTAATTAATAAAAAAAATTTAATTACCAAAAAAAAAAAATCATGCAAATGAAGAATTTGTTGAAGTTGAATTGATGTTGAATGTGCTGTTGCTATCTAATTATGATCCTTGTCTGAATTTAGAGCCATAGATGCTAATTGATGTCTGTTATTGTTGTAGTATAGTTTTAGCTTTGGTTTGTACTTAAATGAACAATGGACTGTGGTCACCTATATGCCTGTTTAAATCTGGTCTAAGTTAGCTGAATACGAATTAGTTCAATTTGCTGAATTTACAAATGTTTCAATTCGGAGCAGATGGTAGATCTAAATAAATGTCATTAATTAGTCCGTTAGTTCGAAATTAAAAGTTTACTGTGGCTCAGCCTGGAATTGAAATATTTGAAGTCATTTGTAATTAGTAGCCTTATTTGGATTACATGTTATAGGTCATTTGTTTTTTCATATAAAAATCAGTAGATCCATTGAGCTCACAATATGCTTGTCTAGTTAGCTTAGTGGATTCTATTTGAGCCTGTAAAATCAAGCATCCAGTCATTCATGTTTAAGTTTTAGAGCCTGCTAATTAAATCTATTCTGTCCAGTTACTGGTCATTAAAAGCAAAGCAAAATTTGGCTCATTGAGTAATTGTTAATGGACGTTGAAAATTGGTTACACTAGTAAGTAATTTATTGAACAATACTGGTTTGGTTTATACCTGGACCGTCTAGGCTATAAGGAATTGATTTAACATGGCCCAGTTATACAATAACTGTCCAGAATTAAAACCAGGCCCACCCCCTTCTAATTCAATTGATTTCATCAAGGCAAGGGACTGGGCGGCTTGGGCCCAAGTCCCAATTTCGTTGCCCTCACGCGGGGCTTGTTCAGAAGCCCATTTGGGGCAGCTCCTCATAAAACTGGTCGAAAATTTCTCACTATTGGGCCAAATTCGAAGCCAAATGCTGAGGGCTTTAATCAAAATTATGGGTTTAATTTGGTAATGCAAGTTTAGGCCTTCCAAGTTATGTAGCAAACTTAAATTAAGAGGTTTTCAATAACGAAGATCCTTTTGTTTAAGTTTGGACTTGATCTTGGGGCCCGAACTTTCTCGAATGCTTTAAATAATGATTAATTCATAATGTTAATTAATTAGGCCTTTAGAGACAATCTTTAATAGAAAATAATAGTCCCTTTTAGGATGGCCTTTAAAATAAAACGAGGTGCGCCGCGCCAAACAAAATTCATAAATTGCGTGGCCCTCTTTAAATACTTTTATAAAATATTTAGAAATCGGGTAAGCCATTTAGGAAATTTCCATGGCTTCCCGCAAATATATCAACACGTTAGTTACTTTAGGCGCGCTTTTTAATAAATCTACCTTCCTAAACTCGGGTGTGCATTTCATGTGACCCAAATCCAAATCCCAAAATGTTGAATAAAATATGTCGCGGATCCGGGTGCATTTCATGTGACGTGATCCAAAAACACGTTTTAAACGACGTTCAACCTTCCTTAAAAATTAATTAAAAGCGGTAAATACTTTTAAAATTGCACTATAGGATGAACATGTTTTAAAATCAGATAATAAGCTAATTATGATAGTTTAAGAGACCGTGCTAGAACCACGGAATCCGGGGATGCCTAACACCTTCCCTCGGGTTAACAGAATTCCTTATTCAGAATTTCTGCTTCGCAGATTTCACTTGGAAAGTCGAAAATTTCCTCGATTTGGGATTCAAAATAAACCGGTGACTTGGGACACCAAAAGCCAAACCTATCCTAAGTGGCTACTCTGATCATTAAATAATCCCATTTCGAATAATGTCACTTTATATTGGAAAAACTCCCTTATACACTATCCTCCCGGGGGTGGTGTGTAAAAAAGGAGGTGTGACAGCTCTGGCGACTCTGCTGGGGATACGAACCCAGAATTTCGGTTCAGGTTTCAAGAATTCGAGCTTAGAGTAGCTGTTATGATTGGCTTTATTTATATAAACTGCTACGAAACCCTTCCTCTCTCTGAGTCTTCTACATCATGGAGAAGGGTGCACTTCGTGTGACTTCTCTTCTGTTTAGAGTCTTATCCCATTTAGAACGAGGTTCAGACAAGTTGCTAAGCCGACGAAGCTTCTGTATCCCCGGTACGCTGCCCCCCCGGCTCGAGTTGTCCGCTCGGGTAAGCCTGGTCTAGAGCAATAAACCCAGGTTTTATACCTAGTATAACAAAGCCTCATGCCGGATCCCTAGTAGGAACGTTTATTTGCATCACGTGCATTTGACTTAGGGGACTCAACACAGGGGTTAGGTCCGTCTAGGACAGGTGACCTGAAATGAAAAGACCATCCTGATGCATCTTACGTGCTACTTGTGCATTTATTTCGGCTTGCATGTTGACCGGCTTCTAGAATAGGGACAGAAAAATCAAAAAAGAGAAAAAAAAAAAGAAAAACCAAGATTGAGAGGTAGGTATTTTTTTAGAAAAATTCTAAAACCCTGCCGAATTTTTGAGAAAATGAAAGAAAAAGAAAGGTTTTGTTTTCAAAAAATATTGGTTTTGTCAAATCTGCCCGAACTACGCCAGTTTGATTCCCATCGGATGTGAGATACGTAGGCAACCCCCATCGGGTCCAACTTCCCTTTTTTCAAAAATAGCCCCAAAACAACAAAAATTTTAATTTTTGCCACAAATAAGCAGGGGATGCCATTCTTGCTTAAAATAAGCCGAATGTCCCCAAAATGGCGCCGCAAAAAGCAAAGACAAGAATGAAAGAAAAGAAAAGAGAAAGTGAAAAAAGAAAAAGAAAAAGAGAGGCAATGAAAAATGAGAGAAAAGGGCAAAAGGAAAGAATAAGGAAAAGCCGGGATGACGCATGCAACCGTTGCGAAACATATAGAAACACATTTAACTGTATAGGTGCATCACGCCTGTGCGATTACCTATCTGTTATTTGCCTCGAACTAACCGTTTGCTGCTGTCATATTCCAGCTTAGGTTTTATAGAAACGGTGGTTGGTTTTTGGTAAACTGGCATCACATCAGTATTTTACCAGATCAAAAGGGAAGGTAGAAATGTCGTCGGAAATGACCTTGCCAGCAGTTCCCATCCCTGTGGATAGCCTCATCTCGGGCATCCCGGCCTCCGAGTCTGCAGCAGCCGAAGAAAATAGAATCTTACGTCTCCGGGTCATGGAGATGTGGGACGCATGGACGAATGGAAGGGAGCCTCCAAGTGCCATCCCTGGATTCCCCGAACTGTTCCCTAGATCAGGTGGTACCTCCAATATTCCCATCAGTCATCCAAATACCTCACTGGGACAGCCCACCATACCGGCTCATTTCGTAGGAACACCTTCTGAGGTTTGCCCCCAAGTGTTCATATCCGGAGCGACCTCCAATATCTTCACCGCTCCCCCATGCTCGGCCACAACACAACCTGCACTGTCTAGGCCCACTTTTGATCCTTCGGCCTTTACATTCCAAACACCTACTTACCAAGTGGAGCCTCCTCAGTACATCACCTACACTTATTCTCAGCCACCTCCATTTGAGTTCACACCCGGACAGGATAAAACTCCTAAAGCTCCCGAACAGGATGAAATGGCAAAAAGGATGAGGAGCCTAGAGCAAAGCCTAAAAAACATGCAAGGTTTAAGCGGGCAGAAGAGTGTTTCCTATACTGATCTGTGCATGTTCCCTCACGTGCATTTGCCCATGGGATTCAAGACTCCGAAGTTCGAAAAATACGATGGGCATGGTGATCCCATTGCTCACCTTAAGAAATACTGCAATCAATTGCGTGGGGATGGAGGAAAAGAAGAATTGCTCATGGCTTACTTTGGGGAAAGCTTGGTGGGTATTGCCTCCGAGTGGTATATGGATCAAGATATCTCTCGATGGCACATCTGGGACGACCTTGCGAGAGACTTTGTTAGATAGTTCCAGTACAATATAGACATTGCTCCAGACCGGAACTCGTTGGCAAATCTGAAAAAGAAGTCCTCGGAGAGCTTTCGGGAATATGTAATCAAATGGCGTGAGCAGGCATCGAGAGTAAAGCCTCCAATGGACGAGGTCGAAATGGTCACGGTGTTCCTTCAAGCTCAGGAAGCTGATTATTTCCAAAATATGATGTCAGCTATGGGTAAACCGTTCGCAGAAGCTATTAAAATTGGTGAAATGGTGGAAAATGGATTGAAGACGGGTAGAATTTTGAGCCAGTCCGCTATCAGAGCAACCTCCCAAGCCATTCAAGGCGGGTCTGGAGGAGTAGTAAAAGGAAAGAACAAACGGCTATGGCAGCATCGGGTGCAAGAAGACAGCGCGCTCCTAGACCCATGTTCTCGGAAAGAACCCCTCAACATTGCTACCCTCACCATGACATGGCTTATGCTCCTCAAACGTATGCGGTCATGAATGCTCAACCCTTTTCTTGGCCGCAGCCACATGCCAATAAAAACCAAGCTCCATTTCAAAGAAACCAGCCTCCTCACCAAAACCACTATAACCCCCGTCCTCCACAAAATAACTTCCGCCCTCTTGAACCACCCAAGAGGCCAAATTTTACACCAATCGGTGAACCCTACTCCAGTCTGTTTCCGAAGCTTGTTCAAATGGGTCTGCTGCAGCCCATACCTCCAAACAGGCAAAACCCAGAATCACCTTCCTATCAGCGGGGTGTCCGATGCGCTTATCACTCAGGAGCTGAGGGGCATGATACAGAAAACTGTTGGACTTTGAAAAGAGCCGTGGAAGACTTGATAGAACAAGGAAAGATAGTTCTAAGGGATGAGGATGTCCCCAACGTGACGAATAACCCACTGCCAGCCCACAACAATGGGCCAGTAATTGGAATGATCTGTGAAGATAGGGAATTTGATCCGGCACTAAAAGCCATAATTGCCATTGCCGATGCGGAGAGAAAGCCAAAAATCGCCCCGAAGCAA